TTTATGACAATCGTAAACGATCGGCCCAGTGTCTTCATCATTAAGAAGCACTTTCCAAAACTGAAATTGTATCAGCAGGATATTATGACTTTCTAGTAGTCCGCCATTGGCGTTATTTGTTACAGCATCCGGGAATCTAACCAGATTATCACGGCCAAAGTTTACTATCCGCAACTGGATGAGATGCACATTTAGTTAAGCAAAAGGTTACCGGAACTAATAAATCGACGAGGGTTAATTCTACTTAATAATGTCCAGGCACTTGTTGCTAGGATGACATTGCAGAACCTCACCAATTTGGAATACGAAACTTTGCTACATCCAACATATTCGCCTGATCTTTCGCCCACTGACTACCACTCTTGACAATGTTTGAGACAAAAGACATTCCGTTGCAAAAAAAAGATGCAAAAACTGCATTCAATTGTTTCTTGGCATCCTAACCTTAAGAATTTTACCGTAAAGACATAAACAACCTTATGACTCCATGGCAGAAATATATAGATCTGTGGTTCTCAATGGAGTGCAATTTGATTTTTAAGGTGTCATTAACATTGATTTTTCTCGTCTTTGTGTGTGTGTGTAAGTTTATATATACTGCGCAACATGCATACATACAAATATTTGTGCATATGTATGTACATGAGTAATTATATATCTACTGTATATATATATATATATATGTGTGTGTGTGTGTGTGTGTGTGTATGTCTGTGTGTGTGTGTGGTGAACTCTCCCGACGTATTCAACGTATGAAGCTCAAGCAGGTCAGTTCCTAGGAACCAACAGTCCAGATACCAGCACATATGATTTGATTATAGTGGCCAAGGCTTTGTGCAGAACCAACCACACTATTTGAGAAGCTGAATACACAGACCTTGTTCACTACGTGCCACAAGGTCCCCAAACGATTCTCCGCAGGTTTTCAATTCAGAGTCGTCCTTCTCCTAAACCAGTTGCTATCCAACTGTCTGTCAACGATCTGCCCTGTTATTTACCCATAGCTGGAGGGGGAAGAGTATTTAAAAGGGTATTAGCACGTAAGTGAATGGAATGGATTCGAACTCTGCTCTCCTCAATGCGAGCCGCTATCCACCGCGCCTCAAGGTGGACATCGAAGTTACCTATGGGTGTTGACTTTGATGTCCGATTTTATATTTACATACACTATTTTAATATATTAAATAATATTATTTTTAATTATTTTTATCTTTGTATATTTGCTTAAATTTTGCTTATATATATGTCTTAAATATTTATTGGTTGTTGTATCCGATTGTCTGGATCAATGTCTGTGGATGTGTGTGCATGTATTTATAATTGTCTATGTGTATGGAAAGTGCATTCACTTTTAATCGTGTATGTATGTACGTGTGTCTTGGTTTCCCTCCCCCCCCCACTAACTTTTTTTTTTAAAAAAAACGATCGTGGTGATGTTCTCTGTCTCGTCTCTTTTTGTGTGTGTATATATATATAAATATGTCTGGGTGCTTATATATTATAATCTGATTGCGTTTGTTTTACGCGTGAGTTTAGGACCCCCATTCACACACTCTTAGGATTAAAATGTATACATTGTCAAAGAACCGGATATAAAATTAGCTGAAGTAACTTCAATGAAGAAATAAATTGAATAACATATATATATTTCTTCTTTACTTCTCAGTAATTTTATAGTTGTAAACTTAATAGCGATTAAATTTTGATTTTGAAATTAGTAGTTTTTAATTTTATCATATAATTTAGTAACTATTGGTTAGAATAATTTCTTTTTTAATACTACCCATATTTTAAATATTTGAATAGCTATTATAACATGACTTCGTTGTCAAGCTTTTTGAATTTTCCTATACTTGCATTTTGATTGGTCCATCTAGCTTTTGTAACAACGTTTTCCCCTTGTGAAGGATTGTTAATTAATTTGAAACTTTTAAAACCATTTATTTTACATTCTTCATCATCACTTGATAAGACCGAAAGTACGGAGTACCTAGTGAGGATCGAACTCACTATTCAGTCATAACTGATCTAGAGGGCGAGACTTGCTAACCATTACACCATAGCGGAGTAACCAAATTAGATGATTATACTGCAACATATATGCAGTATCAAGTTCATAATGACGGTTATGTTAAGGGCCTTTTCGACTCCTTCTATGTGAATAATTCTTCACTATTTGAATAATAAGCATTATATGTTACCGTTGTGGGCATCGGCTTTTTAGGGATGCTTAGGTGTGGCATGGCCAAAAAAAAGGTTGGAAACCACTGATATAAATGTTCAGCGTTTTTGTTTTGAGTGATTTAAACGCTGTTTAAATACATTCATTCAGAAATAAATGCCGATTCTAAAATCAGACATAATTTTCCTAAGAACCTAATAGACACTCAAATATCGTAGCAATTCTAAACGTTTTCAGATACCATAGAACAATAATATATGCGAAGTACCTCGGTAATCTCCCGAGGTGTGGAAGCTGGATTATTATTGATCAGAGTTTTGATTTAGTCATCAGCAAAGACTCAAAAACTCAATTTTCGCCAAACGTCCACTTCCCACTCCTTACTGAACATTTAAACAGGAGTAGAGCTTTATAACTGTTATATCTCGTGCAAGATATAATAAACAAAGTAAACCCGAGTGTTGGTTTTCAATAATAGTTTTATAATCGGATGTAGGTATGTCAAAATACAGAGACAGAGTCGGGAGTATGCTAACCTCAATAGGTGTTAACAAACGAAGACCTTTTGACTGTCCGCTGTGGTCGTACTTAATCGGCAACGAGTCCGTCCATTATCGTGAATGGGGAAGTTGGGTTATATCATCACAACAATAACCTTGTTTCCTGTTCAGGATTGGGCTTCCGGTTTCTTTGAATGTCTACTTCAACTTTATACTTCTAAAGTCTCCGCCTAAACTCCGAAATTTTTTTTACTTTTTATTTTTTTTTATTTTTCTCGTCAATAGGAGTAGATAGGTTCGCCTATCGGCAGGTCAACACTCCTCGCTAACCTTTTGGACAGGAGTAGAATTTTATCCCTTCTTTCTTTTTTAAGATTTGGTTTCCGGTTCCTGTTAATGTCTTCTCATTCGCTTTCACACTCAGTAGTCCACTTACGTCTTAGTGGCTTTATCGCCTTGCTTGGGGTGAATTGATAATAAAAAGTAGAGAGCAAAAGGTGAAGATCTTGAAGGCCTATGCAGGAATGATAACAGTTAACCCTAAACTTGAAGAGGTCAATATTGTTGTAATTAGGACAAAATCCTGCTGGGAGTCTGTTCCACAAAGCATCAGTTCTTGGACAGAAGATGTCTGAATTGAACTTACTTCTTACTATAACAATACGAAAGGAAAAAATAACGGTAAACCCTATAAATGAAGAAGTCAAGATTGTTGTGATTAGGACAACATCCTGCTGGGAGTCTGTTCCACAAAGCAGCAGTTCTTGGACAGAAGATGTCTTAATGGAACTTACTTCTTACTATAACAATACGAAAGGAAAAGATAATGGTTAACCCTAGACATGAAGAGGTCAAGATTGTAGTGAATGGGAAAACATCCTCCGATGGTCCTCTCCACAAAGCAGCAGTTCTTGGAAAGCTACTCGAATTGAACTTAATTCTTGCTAATTAAATACGTTGGGGATGAGAATGATTCAGTCTTCTGTATGTAACATGGCTGGAATATAGTTCGTCAGAACACATGCCATGGACATAGCGATTGAGTAGTGAGGTATTCGCGACGATTCGTCTGGGGAAAGGGGTTGTAGGGGTAAATAATTCCTCACCCACATTGCCGTGTAGACGCTTTTGAACTCTATCAAGACAGATAAGTGAAGACTGGTCATCTCCAAACCAGATATGGCAGCAATACTCCATTTTTTGGTCTGATCTGGCTCTTGTGAAGATAGAGTATAGCAGGTAGAATCAGATACTTCCTGGAGCAGTAGAAAGAACCGACAATTTTTGCAGCATCTTTGGCAATCGATCGGATATGAGTTCCACTTGAGGTCAGGGGTTAGCTTGCGTGGCCGGTCATTTGGCCGACGGACTTTTGGCCGAGAGACATTTAGCCGAACGGACAATTTACCGACGGACATTTCACCGAAAAAGTACAAGTAAAAATAGTAACAAGCAATACTTTAAGTATTTTAATTAGTAGTATTATAAGATAGAATCGGACTAATAATTACTATTGAATTTCAAGTGATTAAATTACTAAATATAAATTTAAAGTTAAAAATCTGTCTATATTTCTGAGATGAGGTATTACGTACATTATTTACATTATTCGGACTATTGTCTTCATTTTTGTCGCCATATTTATCACAACGTTGTGATAAATATGGCTACAAAGATGAGGACAATAGTCCGAATAATGTAAATTAAAGTTAAAAGTTTTCTTATTTAAATTAGTTTTTTTTTAATATTTGATTGTATTTGAGTAAAAAGTAGTACCTAATTATTTAAATTCCTATTTAACAGTAAGATAAAAGCTAGTTCATCCCTTTAAGATAAGGATCATTAAAAGAGGAATTGAAAGATCTTTCATATTGTAAAAGCTTAAGATTTTTGCTGTAGTAAAATGAGCTTTTTCTCGAAATGCTTCTCATCTTACTTATTTGAAGTAAAATATAACATATACAGAAGATTTTTTAAAAAAAGCCTGTCAACGAAAAATTATAAATTAATACAGTATATACACGAAAATATATGTAGCACTTTACGATAACGAGTGAGACATACATGTAAGTACGCCACTACATTTTCGATTTAAATGTCCGTCGGCCAAAATGTCCGTCGGCAAAATGTCGGAGTACTTTTAGCCTGAGTCCCAACAGACATTCGAAGAGAGAATACTCATCCATTAGTCAAAAAATCGAGGTGTCTTTGAAGTGGGTGGGTGATATACAGTTAAATTTTAATGCAAATTTTAACCCTTATTTTGTGTACCTCTTTGCAACACAAAATATACTGCTAAACTTCGAATTGAAGCTGGAATGATATTGGTTAACAAGCCACTTCTTTATCTTTTTTTCCAGATACAATCATTTTATTCTCGTATTAGGTTGGTGCAAAAATAATGATGTAATAATGTCGTTTTTGACGTAACGTCAAAAAAAGACATTGTTACGTCATTATTTTTGCACCAACCTAATATTTTTCTCCATTCCTTATTCTTTTTCCTTATCCTGTTTTTCTCTTTTCTTCTCATTTTCTTTCATGATCTTTCATCCTTGCCTATCTTTTCTTTTGTACCTTTTGTCTTCCGTTGTCTTTTTTCTTTTTTTTCTCTTCCTCTCCCACTTTCTTCCTTTCTCTTCCCCTTCTTTTTTCTTAGTTTTGTCCTCCCCTTCACTTATTTTTTTTTTTTTTCTTTTTCCTTTTTCTTCCTAAATATCTTTTTCTTCTTTTCTCTTCTTGCCCTTTTTTACCTTTTTTTCTTATTTTTTCCCCTTCCTTCTTTTCTTCCTTCAAATCATTTTCTTGCTCATCTTTCTTTTACTTTCCCTTCACATTCTTTCTTTTTTGTCTTCCCCTTTTCTTCTTATTTTCTATCTTCTTCTTTTCTTTTTTTTCTTTTTCTTCTTCCTCCTCCTTCCTTTTCCTTCTTCTTCTTCCTTTCTTTCTTTTTCTTGCTCATCTTTCTTTTTACGCTCTTCCTTCTTTTTCCTCTCTTCTTCCTTTTATTCTTTTTCCTTCCCATTTGTCTTCTTCTTTCTTTTCTTTCTTTCTTTCTTTTCTTTGTTCCTTTTTTACTTCTTTTTTGTTCCCAATTTCTTTTTTTCTTTTTTTCCATTTTCTACCTATCATTTTCTTTTCTTCTTCTTCTTCTTCTTCTTCTTCTTTCTTCTTCTTTCTTTCTTTTTTTTTTTCTCTTTTATTTCTTCTTTTTTCTTTCCCTTTTTTTTCTTTCTTTTTTCTCTTCCCTATTTTATTTTCTTCTTCTTTTTTCTTTTTCCGTTGCTTTTTTCCCCATTTTCCTCCTTTTTCCTTTCCCCCTTTTCTTTTTTCTTCTTTTTTCCACTCCTATCATTTTCTTCTTCTTCTTCTTCTTCTTCTTCTTCTTCTTCTTCTTCTTCTTCTTTCTTCTTCTTTCCTTTTTTTGCTTTTCTCTTTTCCCCATTTTATTTTCTTCTTTTTTCTCTTCCTTCTTCTTCTTGCTTTTCCTCTTTTTCTTCCTTTTCCCTTCCCCCTTTTCTTTTTTCTTCTATTTTCCACTCCTATCATTTTCTTCTTCTTCTTCTTCTTTTTTTTCTTTCTTTCTTTCTTTTGTTCTTTTTCTCTTCCCCATTTTATTTCCTTCTTTTTTTCTCTTCCCGTTGCTTTTTCCTCTTTTTCTTCCTTTTCCCTTCCCCCTTTTCATCCTATACACCATCTCATTTTCTTCTTTCTGTCCATCTCATTTTCCTCTCTTTCTCTTCCCTTCCGTTTCCTTCCTCTTCTCTTTCTTTTCACTTTTGTTCTTTGGCCCTATCCTTTTCTTCCTTTTTTTCTCTTCTCATTGTCTTCATTCCTTTTTTCCCTCTCATCTTTTTTCTTTTTCTTCCTCTTCTACTCCCTTCTCATATTCTTCCTTTCCTTCCTTTTTCCCATCTCAATTTCGTTTCCTTTCCTTCTCTAATATTTTTTGTGTTTCTTTTCCATTCTCTTTTTCTTTTTCTCCCTTTGCTTCCTTTTCCCCCTCCTTCATTCATCGCATTTTTTCCTTCTTTTTTTTCTTTTACTGCCGTCCATTGCTTATAGATTTACCTTTGATGTTCCGTTTGAATTGCAATTCCTACTGAATGGAGTTTTCTTTTCGTTTTTAATTTTATTTTATTTCGTTTTTTTTTTCTTCATCTCCAATCGCTTGACATTTCGGTACCAAAGAAGCCGACACAAGGCATCAACAGTACGCTTTTGTTTTCAGTTTCTTTTTTTCTTTGTTAGAACACAATGGAAGACAAAGCAACCATCTGTCCGCCATGTTGCTAAGATGACGAAGATTTCTAAATAGGTGGGGAGACGACAATGCACCTTTCACCGATCCCTATTCACTGCACTAGCGATAAAAAAAATGGCAGCTCAAATAAACAACTTGGAAAAAAAATGCTAGTTTTTGTTGTTTTTTTTTTATTTTACATCTTTTTGTGTGTATCTTTTTAACTTCTTTGTCCTTTCTTTTCAACGTATTTCTTTTTACGTCATTATTACTAATTTCTTTGTTTAATATTTTTCTTTCTTTTTTCATCTTTTTAACTAAAATCTTCTTTTTTCCTTTAACTCGCCAGTTTTACACGACTCTGTTTCTTACACACTCTTTTTATGGCTGTCTTTATTCTTTTCTTTCGGTTATTTCTCTATGACTTCTTCATATTAGTTTTATTTCTTCTTCATTTATACGCAAGCGTTTTAATTCCTTCCTTTGACCTTATTATTATTTATTTACTTCTTGCTTTCTTTCCCTGTCCAGGGTATGACGATAAACTACGTCCGCGTCCAGGGTAAGACGATAAACTATGTCCGCGTCCAGGGTAAGACGATAAACTACGTCCGCGTCCAGGGTAAGACGATAAACTACGTCCGCGTCCAGGGTAAGACGATAAACTATGTCCACGTCCAGGGTAAGACGATAAACTACATCCGCGTCCAGAGTAAGACGATAAACTACGTCCGACAGTAAGGTTTCTGATCAGGAGGCTTTGATGAGTATGGAACCACCTCTTAATTGCTAGTGTACCCAGGTCCGCCCTGACCCGGGTGGTAGCACCTGTTAGGGCCCCAGCTATGGGCAAATAGTTAACCCTGAAACTGGGGTAAAAACACTATGAAAGTGTAAAAAATAGGTCTTAATACCAGAAATACCTTATAAAAATTATTTCCAGAAATAAATTTTTAAAGAAAAAAACTTTTACCAGCAGCAATACGTTTTTGAAAAAAAATATTACCAACAATACTTTTTTGAAAATAATATTACCAGCTATACAATTTTGAGGAAAAAATATTACCAGAAATATATTTTTGACAAAACAAAAATATTACCAGGAAAAAAAAAATGTCGGCATTAAATGACCCATTGAGGTGTTGATATGCCGTAAAACAAAACAAAGCAAACCAACCTTTTTCCTTCATCTTTTTCATTCTTTTTCTTCTATTTTCTATATTTCCCTCTTTTAATTATTTTTTCGTCTTTTGCATTAACTTTACGTGTTTTCTTTTTTATCACTAATATTCATATAATAGAAGGCTCAAGAGCCACTCAAGGCACAGGATTGGTTTGGTACGAGTGTAAGAAACGGTAAGAATTGTTCATGGGGCTATACTGAAAAAATAACGTTTAAGGATAAACTTGAAAAGGCCAAGATTGTAGCGATTGAGAAAACATCCTCTTGGGAGTTATTTCATAAAGTAGCAGCTGGGAAGAAGCTGCCCGGATGGAACTTACTTCTTACTATAGCAATACGAAGGAAATGAGGATGATTCATTCTTGTGGACGTGGTATGGTGGGTCCCAATCGTAAAGGTCAGGGTCGGTGGAACAACAGAATGTTACCCGTCAGAACACATTCCATGGATCTAGCAATAGATCAGTGTTGTCGAGTAGTTTCACAGTGGAGGCTTGTATTTGTACTAAGTCGGTCCTAAAATAGGTTCGACGTACAAAACGTTAGGAACTTGATATAATAGGTAATGACGCAGAGAAATCTAGTCGTGGTCGCTGATACTTTAATATCCGACTAACGGTCGTCCGACATCGACTGACTGACCAACTCACTGAGCGACTGCTACCCCTCGTTACTACTCCTACTCATTATAGGTGGGAGAATCTATTAACTATAGAATAGGTGTGTTCCACTATAACGATCATGAAGACGTTTCTAACGTTTCGTCTGTGAAAAAGAGGCTGTAAAGTGGGAAAAAATTAATCACCCGCTGTTATGGTAATTTACCCACGCACGCATGGACTATCCCAGCTATAAATAGGAGCAGGTATTGCCTTTTGGGAAGGGAAGTTTCCAGCAGTCAGCTCTGACAGTCCGACTGAACATTCTTGCTGTAACACTCTCGTTTGTATATGTTTGTATTATTGTTTCTGTTAATATGTTTAATTCAATTCCTCTCTTGCGTCTTTATTTCTGGCCCTAACAAGGCCACAACACCCGCTAGGCCGCGTAGACGCTTTGAACTGGTCAACTGCATGCAGTACTCAATTTTTTTGGTTTGATCTGGCTTTTATAGACAGAAGGAGTAAGATACTCACTGGAGAGTTACAATGAATCAACTATTTTACCAGGATCTTTCGCAATAGATCGGATATATGTTCCACATTTTAATAGGAGTAGATAGAGTCCCATATCGTTCGATTTATACTCCACCCCGATTTTTGAACGAGAGTAGTTTAGCCTTTGTTTTCTGTTTGGAATTCGGTTTCCAGGTCTTTCAACTCTGTACTTCTGACGTTTCCACCCGAAATTTGAAATTTTATTCAGTAATTATCAATATTTTTTCCTCTCCCAATAGGAATAGATAGGTTTACCTATCGTTCGATTCACACGCCGACCCTGTCTTTTGAACAGGAATAGAAATTTATTCGAACTGTTTAGGATTGAGTTCCCGGTTGCTTCTAAAGTATGAATTGAACACTTTATTTAATCTACGGAATTAGACTGTTCTCCTTCCGCTGCCCATTTCTACTGAGCAGTGTTAAAAATACTGACTAGACGAGATATCCTTAGATATTGACAGTTCGATCTTTAATGGTAATATGTCCCGGAAAGGGGTATATTTGTTCGAAGTAGCAAAGTGTTGTTGACTACTGTAACCAGGTAGGACAATCTAGCAGGTAACCGTAAGGAACTGGTCCTCATCGTAGTGGTAGGCAATAGGCGTAGGCAATAGGCGAAGGCAATAGGCGTAGGCAATAGGCATCGTCCTGTACCTCAACATCAGGCTGTATTTATGGCTGACACCAGCCAATCATATCAGTTCGTAGGCTCAGCCAAACAATCCCCCGTAGAATCTGCATAAGCGGGTTCGGATCTGTCTACCTTCCCGTATGAGACTGACCTTCGGCACAGCCTTGTCCGGGTTCCTCTCTGCTCAAGGAAGAGAGTTCGACAGGTAAACGATCTAGTCAACTTTTAATATTTAACAGCCCCCACCCACGATGGATGTATGTGGCATAAGGCCGAGTTTACCGTGGGTTCTCAGAGACCGTAGGCTCAGCCAAAGATATTCCCTTAGAACCCGTATAAACGGGTTCATGGTTTGTCTACCTCCCCGGACGAAACTTTGCCCTTCGGCAAAGCCTCGTCCGGGTTCCTTTCTGCCGAGACAGAGAGTTCGACAGAAATGAACAGTCTGGTCGACTGTTAATATTTAACAGCCCTCACCCACTGCTACCACCACCACCACGAGGGTGTATGTGGCACATGGCCGGTTTATAGTGGGTACTCCGAACCTACGGGCTCGACCAAAAATATTCCCTTTGAACCCGCCTAAACGGGTTCAGGGACTGTTTACCTCCCCGGATGAAACTTTGCCCTGAGGCAATGCTTCATCCGAGTTCCTCTCTGCCGAGGCAAAGAGTTCAACAGAAATGAACAGTCTGGTCGACTGCTTCCCAAGGCCTTCTCTCCTACTAATCTTATAGTAGACGGAAGAGTCCAACATAGACAATTTAGAGGGAGGACACCACAACACTTACGTAAGAAGTAATGCTTCTATCATTTAGCTAATGTCTTACCATTTTTCATTTCAGTTACCATCGTGGTTTGAGCTGGTGCATCGCGTGGGTTTGCTGTTGAAACGTTTTTTTTTTTTTTGTTGTTGTTGTTTTTGTCACAGATAGATTTTCGTGATGTTTTATGTTCCGTCTGAACGATGTTACCCGATGCTGCTATGGGTTGACAATTTCAGGGCCACAGGCTCAACGCTTAAACGGAAGCTGCTTGGAAGACCTCGAAGCGCTCGAACTTCCGGTTGGTTGGTTAGTTGATTTTGTTCGGCGGTATATCAAACCATATGGGTTATTTCATGCCAAAATCTAAATATTTTGAACACAATTTTATAGCTTAAACTAACTATATTTTCAACGCAATTACATGTCTTCAACTCCACATAAAATATATTGTTGATCATTTTTGGTATTTCTAAATTTTCATTTGCATGTTGGGCTGTTCCTTTTGCTAAAAACACTGTATTGCATCTTCTTACAATTGATGTTTAGTCTTTTCTTCTTGCTTTCATTTACTACCTTCTGTAAGAAATCTGTATTTTCTTTTCTATGTATTATTAGGGATCTTATTATAAATAGCTATTGTTGGTAATTTTGCTACTGTTAGAGCATACCTACGGATGATAATGTTGTATGTCCCCATTCACATAAATACAGTAGTAAATACTGTATGTTGGTCTGCAGTTGGGCATTCGTCTCTCGCTGTGCTGGTCAAACTCTCTCCCTCCAGACAGAGAGGATACCCAGACTAGTCGAAGGGTAGAGTCTCGTCTCAAAAAACAGCTACCCGACCCCGTTTTATACAGGGTCTACGGGGAATTTTGGTCGAGTCTACAGACTCGAATACCCCACATTAAATTTGTCCTTGTACCACATCTGACCGCGTGAGGCAGGTGGTAGATATCCTGCAGTTGAAAATTCGTCTCCCGCTGTGCTGGTCAAATTCTCTGCCTCCGAGCAGAGAGGAACCCCAGACGATGATATCTTGAAGGGCAGAGTCTCGTCTCGGGAAACAGTTACTCGACACCGTTTTATACGGAGTCTACAGGGAATTTTGGGCCGAGCCTAC